CCTGCTGCCCTTCAGTTTCCCTGCCTGAGCTGATGGAGGTGGTCTTGGACTTGGTGTTGAGGACCCTAGGATGATGGTACTGGAGGAGCTTAACTTCCATGCCAGGGCTGTTATATTCAGGGAAGCTTGGGACTTCATGGCTGCCATGACAATCATGGGACTTTCTCAACATGTTATTGGCCCAACACATGCCCTTTGTTTTGTTTTCTCAACTTGGCAGGAGGATGGTATTCTGGAACTGGGGGAAATAACATCAACCACTTACTCATGGTCAGATCACTCCTTACTAAAGTTTAGACTTTCATTTCTCTTTTACCTCTGCCTGGGTGGGGGACCTTTAAAAATGATCTTCCCCTGGAAGTGAAAGAATCCTGATGGTTTCCAGAGGGCTGTAGGGGAGTTTATGGATGGTATAGCTGGTGCTCCTGCTGAAGCCCCATGTCAGTCTGTGGAATGCAGAGATGGGTTGGGGAGTTGACAGAATCACTCCCAAGCATTCTCTTTCCTTGAGGAGAGCTTGGTCATCTCCTTGGTACACACCTAGCAAGAGGGGAGTTGGCTAGTGTGCAGGTGGAGGAAAACTTGTGCTGAGTCCAGTTGGGTTAGAGCTCATCATTGAGCCTACTCTGTGGCAGTGAGGGAGGCAAACAAGAGCATTGTTTTCCACCAGCATTGTGTCTTCTTAGTGTTGTTCATTTTCCACATGGGTCACAGCCTGTTGTGTTCTGGACAAGAACAAGAAATTATGGAGTCCTCAGTAGTTCATTGTGATGAATTTGCACTGCACTTTGAAGATAAAGCTGCTCAGTTCCATCATGAATCGGACACCACAATTGATGCAGTTCCACTAGAAGAGGCATCCAGTGCACTGTCTTGTCCAGTTTTATTGGATAAACTTCAGTTATTGAGGCCTGAGGTTCAACCCGCCATTTGTGTCCTTGCCCCTCATGGCTTATTGCCACAATTAAGGAAGAGATTTTTACCTGGGTCAAGGAGGCTGTGAATGCTAATCTTTCTAAAAGGGGTTGTAATTAAGCCACTCCTAAAAAACCCCCTAACTTGGACCTGGAAAATGTTAATAACTATAGGCCAGTGGCCAGCATCCCCTTCCCTAGCAGTGTGCTTGGGCAAGTGTTGATTCAACTGCTCCAGGCACTCTCCAATGAAATAGATTATCTAGATCCATTTCAATCAGGCCTCAGGCCTGGTTTTGGAACAGAAACTGCCTTGGTCACCTTGTGGGATGACCTTCACTGGGAGAAAGATGGGGAGTATGACCCTGTTGATTCTCCTGAATCTCTCAGAAGCTTTTGATACCATCGACCATGGTATCCTTTTGGGTAGGCTAAGAGTAGGAGGCAGTAATACATTCCTACTAGACCAGCCGATTCCAGATGGAGGTGTTGGGAGATTGCTCTATGTTATGGTGGTTATGCCAGGGATTTTTCAGGAATCTGATTTGTTCCCTGTGCTATTTCATAACTACATGAAACCACTGCTCTACCTCTCTTTTTCATCAAACCCAGATGAGGCAGTGGCCGCTCTGAATCAGTGTCTGAGCATGGTAGTGGATTGGATGAGGGCCAACAAACTGAGACTCAATCCAGACAAGGCAGAAGTGCTGTTGTGGGAAGAGGTTGTCTGTTCAGTTGGATGATATTCAACCTGTTCTTAACTGTCTCAAAGGACAGGGAGCTGCCTGGGGGCTGGTTATCTGAAGAACCATCTCCTCCCATATGTACCTATTCAGAACCCGAGGTAATCTTTGGGGGTCCTTCCCTGGAAGCCCCTTAAGGAAGTGATGTGGGTGGCTACTAGAGGGAGGGTTTTTTGGTTGGGGTTTTGGAATGAGCTCCCCAAAGAGGTGCCTACTTTGTATTCTTTTTGGTGCCGGGTGAAGACATTTTTATTTTTCCAGCATTTTATCAATCTAACATTCTTTTTATATATTTCATTTTCTTATGTACTCCTGCAGTGCTTCTGTGCTGAATCATACCAAGTGGAATTATGGTTTTGTTATTTTAAATTATTGTGTTTTTAACTTCTCTTTAATTTTAACCTTTAGAGCTTTAGCTATTGGGCAGTATAAAAACGAATTAAATAAGTAAACAAATATGAATATATTATATATAGAGGGAGGGAGGGAGGGAGAGGTTGTTTCTCACACATAAACTATCTCTCTCACACACATGCACATAGACACATTCAGCCTTGAAGATACATAGTAATGAACAGTCTTATTCAGAATTATTATTGTTGCTTAAAAACCCCCCCAAGTACCTGCCACAAAGGACAGAGCTGTCCACATATTAATTACATCAGAATAAGTACTATGAGTGTAAGTGAAAGGAAATTTGCTTGCTGCTGAATGTGATGGAGAAATGAATTCTGTGGCACATATTACAATAAGAATGAAAATAATCTCAGAATTTTAGTAATTAGCTCCCTTTTAACCTTAGTTCTCATCATACTGTGTGAGCCACTGCTGTAAACTGTCTCAAGTGTATTGTAACCCTCGCATAGCATTAATGGCACAGATGGGCTAAGTATTTAAGTACTAAGATTACTAAAGATGAGAATATCCAAAATCTATATTAGCATAATACCTTTATTAGGCCAACCAAAAGGTCAACAAAAATTGGCAGACAGTTGAGATCTCCCAATCTCTTCATGAAGCAGGGTGATGCAAAAAGCAGACATTTTTGATGCATTTGCTGCTGCTGCTGCTGCAATACAGGTTTTATGTAGCTGAATCTGCACTGTCTGCATCATCCTAAAATGTAGCCTGTCTTCAGGCTCAGGGTGATGATCAGAAAGGGAATAACGAGAGTTGTAAACAATCAAGTCCTCCAAGGGCATCTATTACTGCAGACCTAGGGAGATGGTCTGAAAGTGGCTTAGAATACTATCTTATCAATTGTGCCCTTGATGCCTGAAACCCCCAAACTCACAGGCTTATGAGCATCCAGTGCAGAGTGGAAGGAGTACTGGAGATGCTCCCCACCTCCTTGCCGCTCCTGCTCGGTATTTCAGCTAGAGTACCTGCACTCTTGTCAAGAATCCTGCAAATAATATTGCAAGCATCCTGTAAACATTTTTTTTCTATTCAAGTCATGATTTTGTATTTCATTATAGGATCAAATATTTCATACTCAGTATTAGTTTTTGGTTATTTGTTATTGCTTTTAAAGTATTTGCTAATTAATAATGGTATTCTTACACTTTTCAGGGTGTGGTAACCTTTCCCTTTTGTATTTAGTATTTTGTATTAAGCTCTCTTTAACCATTCAGGTACGGTTTTCCATAGCTCACTGTACAGATCCTCTAAGTTACTTACTGATATTTTAACAAAAAAAAATTAAGTAAATTACACCCTTGTGCAATGCCTACTGTAAAATCTAGCAGAAACTTCTATTAACGTACCAAGTAATAAAAAAAAAAAAAGGATGTCTGTGTTTTTCATAGGATAGTCTAAGTGCTGAGGCAGTCCTTTCATCTGATTTCCCATGCTTGATTGAATGCCTGTAACCTTCTGAGGGTTATGGGCAGCCTCGTGGGATGGTGCCCTAAGATAAGCTATTTTAAGTTGCTGTGGACAGAATTGGTTACCTATGAATATATCGTTTTAAAAATCTACTGAATTACAGATCAGTGATGTGGAAAATTGTTTTAAATAAGAATCTGTTTTCAGCAATCTTTATCTGTCAAAACACATTGAGAATTCTGTTTTGCGTGAAAGGTGTTAACATATTCTTACTAAGTAACTTTTCCCTGGTAGTTTTGTATGAGAGTAGGGTAGTTGTGATCACCCTAAAGGTTTCAATGGACAGGCTCAGTGCTTATTTTGTTACTGTAAATTTTATTTTATAATGGGAATGTTGAAGCTGTTTAAGTTGTATCATTTTGTAAGACAAAATAAGATGTTATTTTCCTGTGCCATGTAAGAGGCCTTCTACACCATGAATCTGTGTTAATTTGCCAGACCGTTTAAAAAAGAAAAGCCTTTCTGTTGATAGTTACCCAAAGAAGTGTTTGCAAAAAGGGGGTGGCCTCATGATCTTTATTTTCCTGAGTAGCGGGGGACTTGAGAAAATGAGGAAAAGGAGGGGCCTCTAGGACCTATGGGGAACACTATAAACCCTGAGAATCTCACTGTGAAGTGAAAAATGTCCCCACCCGCTTTCACATGTAAATATCCCACAGAGTTTTGCTTTCCCTTCTATGTTTGAAAGATGTCTAGTGAATGCAGAGTAACAGAATAACTTGTTTGCAGTCTGCGTGGTCAGTGTTCATAGCAGGAACTTGCTACATTTGACAATATATATTCTAATATTTGTGCATATTTGATTCTGAAGCAGGGGGGTGAGAAACCACTGACAGCCATTCCACTCTGCCTGTTGGGCACTTTGGAAGAGATGCCCGACATTGTCACTTAAGAGTTTTGGGAAAGATTCTAAAAAAGAGAAGTTCTAACACACAAGAATTTGTGATCAAGCAGGGGGAAGAGGCAATGCAGCTTCAAATTGCCAAATCTCTTGGATTAATTTCTGGAAGACCAAGGAGGAAGGCTCACCCATGGTGAGCTCACTAATTTGTTGGGTGCACCTTGAGTTGTTGCTCATTCACAGGGTCATACGAGAATGAGAGGTAATTGTGTATTTGGGAAGACTCAGTGTGACTTGATGACAGTTCCTTATCTTCCACAATCTTCTACAGACAGTAAGGACTGCCTGTGACTAAATGTAGACAATTTAGGATATTCATGTGACAACAGAATATAGAACCATCATTGCAGAGACCCTTCACTTTGATCTTAGCTAATGTGTGTTTTTAAAACAAAACTACTAAGTTCTCTGTAAAGCATAGCTAGTAGAAAACAATCATAGGGTTTATGCAGAGTTTTAGGAATTTCTTTACTAATACAATTTTTTACTGATACTCAATTCTGGTCTGCTTTTGGTCTAATCTGAATTTGTGTATTTGTGTGTGTTTTCTTAAAGGTATGTATTTTTTTTGGAGCCATGCAATGTAGATCTGGTGCATCGGAAGATCAAGTCCATTGCCCTCTGTGTGTCAGCATGCCCACAGACCGAACTGAAAACTCTGGCTGATGTTCAGAAATTTGCATATACTAATGGTAAGGCAAAGAACAATCCTGTTTCTTTTTCTGCCCAGCATTAAATAGAGCTCCAATATTTACTTGATTAGGCAGACGGCAGATTATACAGACAAGCACATACAATATTGTTGAATTACTTACCCCTGTAAATAGGCCTTTCCACTTTTCTCATGCATGTGGAAAAGTTCTTTTTTAGAGAGTTCCCGCTATCATAGATATGCATCATCCTAAAATGTGAAACAAAAACATTATGCTTTCTCATCATTAACTGTCGTTCATATATAAATATGTATAGATTTCATTGATTTCTGGCAATTAAAACTAGATTAACATTAATCAGTATTTCCTTAACAGACTGGTAGTCCTAATATTATAGTAAAATAGATATCAAAAGGACAGGTCTGTCATATAATTATTAGTTGAAATGAGTGACAGAAATTGACAGAAAATGTTAATTAAATTTGCTGCTTTATTTGTTTTTTTAATTATCTATTTCTTAATTGTTTTATGAGAACACCTTACTCCTTTTTAAATTTACCCAATTTCTTTGCAGTGATTTGTGCAGTAAGTATTTTATGTCTTATGTCAGCTGTGTAGTTTATTTTCAGGTACATCCTGGGTTTTATTTTCCAAAGGCTTTTATGGCATGCACCTTTGTGTCTTAGAAAAAAGCTGTACAATATGTGTCCATCATTATGTCATAATTACAAATTATAGGACAAGCATGCAGTTTCTAACTTGTGTTGTAGTATTAATGTAGGAGGGGAGCATTTGCAGGGGAAATGCAGATGAGTTAACTCTTTCTGCCAGTTCTGCCAGTTATCTTCTGCAAATGCTAACACAGGGTACTTTTAAGTATTTTTTTCAACTAGGTCCTGAAACCAGAAGTAAGCCTGGATGAAGTTAGAAACATCCATGAGGGGGTCATTTGCTGGGGAGTTTATGCTTATTTTTCTTGGTGCGTCACGTGGCTGTGATATAGCTAGTTTCATCCTGAGAGATTCTAGTATGGCTTTTTTTTTGTATTTACAGTTACAGTGATTGCTGTAACTGTGCCTCCTTATTTTATGGTGCTATCAGTACTGTAGGACAATTTCCTTGTGTGTCATATTTTTAAAAAGCTAGAAATAGGAAAGAGGAGTAGGCAGGGTTTTGTTCTTGCATTATTCTTGAAGGCTTGGTTTTGATGCCCTGAAAGAATACCAGAACAGAGTTCTGGATAAGTATGTCATGACAAACAAGCCAGGAATGGTGCAGTCCTTACAAAAGCAGAAATGAAGTAGAAACAGGAAGAGGGACCAGAACAGCTCACTTGTTCCCAGAAGCTCATGAGTTAAACAATCCATGGGTTGTCATTAGATGTGAATGTAGCTTTCATTTCTCTGGTCTCTCTCTCTCTCTCTCTCTCTCTCTCTCTCATAAATAGCTTAATTCTTAGTACATATGCATTGATAATGGGAATCATAAATGCATACTGTTGTTGAAACAGAATCCCTTTTGGAGTAAAGGGGGTTGCTGTTGTTAGTGTTAACATTTGTGTGTATCACTGGTATGTGAAAAGAGTGGTTTCTGTTGTACGTGTCTCTATAACACAGATGTGCAAAACCTTTCAGCCCAAGAGCTGACTTCAATTTTGGACAATTTCTTAGGGGCATCATTCTAGTGGTAGGTGACCCCAGCCAAATACAAGCTTATTTTAGCTTAAAGGTATTAGTGTCAGTAACAAAACCTTAGGACAGGCAATCCAGCCTTTTAGAACAGGAGAAAGGGCTACACAGAAACTGGTAAACAACCGAATCAGCAGCATGCAGCCCTACCTGTATAAAAATGGAGTCTGCTTGGCCCTTTTATACATATATAAATGTATAAAAGATTATATGCAATTTAGCATGGTCGATTTTTAACTCTCTGCAACACAGTAAGAAGAATTGTTTTTTAAAAACTCTAATAGGAAAGTTCGATAGTATAAATTAGTCTCTTTCTGATTTAAAAGCTTTAAAGGCTTTAATTCTTTTTCCTCTGAAGTTTTATTCTACCGTGCCAGCCCTCTTGGGATTTTAAATTAGCATGAACACTTTAATCCTAAACCAAGGCATTGGATTTTATCAGAAAAGACTCTCTAATCTGTCTTCACTTTGTGTGACCTTGGGGGCAGCTACTTGTGTTTGAAGTAAGCATATTAGAAAATAGATGCAAATGCTGGCCATACGGACAAAATGGTGGTTGGATTAAAAGTGTAGATAAACAAATTTCCCTGGAATACTTTTAGTGGATAATATTGTCAAGGGAGACTTCTTAGTTAATTTTTATAATTAAAATAATTTGAAATCTGGTTAATTTATCTGGAACCATATTGTCTGTATTCTCTCAAGTCATATGGGTGTTGTAACTGAACATTTACAGACTTTCTTAATTCAGATATTATGGTTTGGTGCTATGTGAAGAAGAGTTGTCTGTTCTTGTCCCATTGCACACTGTGCTTTCACCCCTTCTTACATAGCAGGAAGCCACAGTTGCTATTACATGCAAAGTAGGCAAACTATGTTTTGTACAAACCATTCTTTGTCCACAAGCAAGGACCATAGACTATAGTTTGAACAGGATCTGTCCTGGTTTGTAAACAAATAATGGTTTATGTTGCCCATTTTAGTTTTAATGGCAAATATGGCTAGTTTCTAAATTAAGAATGAGGGAGTCTATTAGCATATGTTCACATAGTAGCAAACTGTGATTTAATATTACTTATAAACTGAACCAACATGGTAATGGACTCATACATTTCCTCCTCCCATTATATGCCCTGACATCTGCACTGCCTGGTTTGCAGAAAATCATAATTTGTTCACAGCCCAGGATCACAAATTAGGATTTGAATAAACTATTTTTCCACTTCAGATGTTAAAAAACTGCTTTGCCAAGAATCACAAAGTACTGAAATTATGGGACTTGAGGGAAGAATATGCAAACCAAGTTTGAGCCAGTTTATACAATTGTACTAAATTTCTAAAACATAGTTTGGTGCTTTATTTGAATTGAATCAGTGTCTGTATTCCAAAATTAAAATTAAAAACTAGTTGAATATAAAACAGTTTAAGTGTCTGTTAATAATATATTGGGTAATTCTTGATGACAAATTATTTTGTGAAGAGTCACCTGTTATTCAGAATTTGTGATTTACTTGTGCTCTTATTTAGGTTTTCTTTAAATTTAGGTGCACTTTATAGCCTATTGAATTTTTGTGTATTGGACTTAAAGCAAAATGAAACATAAATTAGTTGTAAATAATGTTTAAATACTGGATCTAGTCACATCACCAGCAGAGAGAATGCTCTTTCTGTCCTTAGGAAGTTTCTGATATACTGTAGGAATCTTGCTGAGAAAAACTGGAGTGGAGGTGGAGATGATCTTTGTTGAATGCTCCAGAACATCAGGGGAAACAGCACTAGGAGGGACAGATAGAGGAAGAGCTCAGCAAAGATTACCTACCCCTTCAAATGCCATCTCTGGGATCTTTCTGAGCAGAAAGCTCATGGGCTGCTTCTGCTGGTGGAATAAAAAGCCCAATCGAAGTCAGCACTTTGTAACCCTGGCTGTACTTGTCTATGCCTATATATAATTAGTAATTGTAGACTGTTAAAATGAGTCTTTTACTTGAAAATGTTGATAATTAAGGGGGGAAATGTGCCACCTACTGCAGCAAGATGTTCTTAATATCCTAGGCTTTTTTTTCCCCAAGAAGATTGAATGAAATGCAGAAATTGGAAAAAGAGGACAGAACCCGATGGGCACAGATGCCCCTGCTGATTTCTTTCCACCTCACCAGTTCCCTTCAGCAAGCAATGGATTTTCCTAATTCTGTTGAACAAGTAGAACCCACAACAAAGGAGATATAATGCTTCCATGGAGAAACCTTGAAACAAGTGGAAGCATTTGTTTCTGAAACGAGCTCCCTCATGCAGTTGCCCTGAAAATTCTAAATTGCTACTGCATGAGCCCCTGATTAGATTCTGCCCATAATTAATTCCCCCATCCCAGGGATAGTTAACTTGTTATAAATCCCTTGTCTATGTGCTATGTTTTAAAAAGAAATCTTGGCCTGACAGGAAACTTGGCTATACATATTAACTTCACCACTTTATCACATGGTAAAAATAATTAGTAAGCTGGACCATATCCTATTTGGAATTTATTATCCAGACATCACAATCTAATCCCTGATTTTCAATCCAATTTATGAAAATCCCATATTCAGATCAGAGCTGTACAAATCTTATTATCTTCACTTATTACCTTTACTCCACAATAGGGAGGATGACACAGAAACCCTGTTCAGGTGCCCTTCTCACGTGTACATGGGAACAATCATGCTAGCTCTTTGTTCCTCCTTTGCTATTCTTGTGACCCTCTGCAGATATGGGGCAACTGTCTACGGCAGAGAATTTAGAACCAAGATTTTTCAGGGTATTGAAATCTTGGGAGGAGCATCCATTGTTAGAAGAGGCTCGTTCAGTGGGCAAATGCCCTTCATTGTTAATGAATGAATGAATGAATTTTTAAAAATTCTGTACCATATTATATCCAAAATATCTCAAGACAGTTTGCAAGAAAAGTAAAAGAACATTAGGACCAGGTGAATACAGAAGATAATATATATATATATTATAACTAACAATTTTAAAAGATTGGGCAAATAAAAATGGTTTTGGCCGGGCGTCAGAATGAATAAAGGGTCAGCACCAGATGAACCTCCCTGGGCAACAAGAACAGCAAGGAGCAGTTGTAAATGAATAAATGTAGCAAATAAATAAGGGGCTGAGCTAGTGTATTGATCCCTACCAAACTTAATGCTTAAGGTTTACTTGAATACAACTGAATTTATATTATTTATATTTATTAGAGTTATATCCCACTTTTTTCTTAGAACAAACCCAGAGTAGCTTACCTAATTGTCCTCTTCCTGCTCTCAATCTTATCTGCACAACAACAACCCTGTGAGGTAGGTTGGGCTGAGAATCTGT